CCCACGTCTGACGGATCCGGTCGCTCCAGCGCCTGCCTGCCGATGGCGCGCCCAGCGCTGCAGAGCCTGAGAGGGGCACTTCGGCTCCGTCGCTCTCCTGCTGTGGGACCGTCCCGCGCGGGAGAGTGCGACCTGCCAAACCGACGCCCCCCACGCCACCATGGACCGCGCCCCGGTTGGAACGCCGGGAACTCGTTCGATCCGCTTTTGCCCGCCCGCGACGCCCGTCCTGCTCCCCAGGCGCCCCCCCCGCCAGCGGGTCATCGCGCCCTCCGCACGGTCCACCTATCCGCCGCTCGCTAGATAGACGCGCCAGCTGCGCCCTCACACGCATGCCGATCGCCACGGCCGTTCGGCGAGCCCTTCGGCCTACCCCGCACCCCGTGCCTCCGACGACGACGCTGACGCTTCCCCCGCGCGCTCTGCGAGGGTTCCCTATGCGGTGGTCGGCGCTGCCTCAGGAGCCGTCGCTCTCGGCGAACACCACGACTCCGCCCTTCTGCAGGGCCCCAGCGCTCAGTCCGACGTCGCCCCCTACGGGTGCTTAGCAGGGTTGTCCTCGCCGCGAGGGGCCGCGCGACCCCTGGGCGGGCTGGGTCCCTGCTCCGCCCGGCGCCTGCCTCGCAGTGGCGCGCGGATGCGCTCCCTGGCCTTCGCCGCTCTGTGCGTCGCTCTCCTGGTGGGCCCTCCGCGTCCGATGCCTCGCCCCGCCGCGTCCGCGCCAGTCTTGCTTCGGCTCGCTGCCCTGGCGGCCCGCTGCCCTCCTCGGGCGGTGCTGCCATCTCGGTGTCTGCTTCCCCTGCTCTCTGCAGGCGGCTGCCCGCCTGTCCCAGGCCTCTCGACCCCCCGGCCCTGCTCGGGTCGCGGCTCTCCCGGCCCTCTCCCGCCGCCCGTCTTCCCGCCCTCGGACTCTTGTCAGGGCGGCTCCTGCTCCCTCCCGGCTTTTCGGGCCCCGCCTTGCCCGCCTCCCTCTGGCGTGGCGCGCGCCTGGTCCTGCCTTCCGCCTCGCCCCGCCACGCCTCGGCGCCCCGCCCTGCGGCCGCCGCCTCCTCGCCGCCCCCGCCCCTCGCCAGCGCCGGCTCGCTGCCTCGCTGCCCCGGCGCTGCCTGGCCAAATGCCCCGTGAGGGGCCGGCCGTCTCGTCTGTTGCTTGCTTCTTTGGGGTCAGGCTGGGTCAACAGATCGCGATTCACTCGCTCCGATTCACCCGACCCTCGGTCTGGGTGAATCGCGACGGGGTGAGTTGAGCCGGGTGGGTTACGCACCGGGTGAGTTGAGCCGGGTGAGCTAAGCACCGGGCGAGTTAGGCCAGATGAGTTCGGCACCGGGTAATTTAGGCCAGGCGAGTTAAGCGCCGGGTGAGCTCGGGACGGATGAGTTTAAGCATCAGATGAATTAGGTACCGGATGATTTGAGGACGGGGTGAGTTAGGCACCAGGTGCGGATGAGGTAGGCATTGGGTGACGTATGCGCTGGGTGAGTTAGGCATCGGGTGAGTTAGGCACCGGGTGAATTAGGCACTGGGTGAGTTAGGCGCTGGTTGTGTAAATTAGGCACCAGGAGAGTTCGGCACTGGGTGAGTTAGGTACCGGGTGAGTTAGGCATTGGGTGAGTCAGGCACCGAGTGAGTTAGGCGCCGCGTGAGTTAGGCTCCGGGTGAGTCATAGGCACTTGCTGAGTTAGGCACTGGATGAGTTAGGCTCCGCGTGAGTTAGGCACTCGGTGACTTAGACTCCGTGTGAATTAGGCACCAGGTGACTAAGGCGCAGGGTGAGTTAGGCACTGGGCAGCCGGTATTTTTGATTGCGTCTCCTGCCTGTGCCGCTGCGGCCGTTTCTCTTCCACCGTGGGTTACCCTGCTCTGCAAGACAGCTACGTTCTGTAGCGCGTCCTGTGTTTTTGCCCGCTGGGCGTTTTCACCGACTCCCTCCACGATGCCTCCAAGGGGCTCCCAGGGCTCCCGACAGAGCCCCGCGAGAGCCCCAAGAGGGATCCAATAGCGCTCCAAGACCTCCCACGAGAGCCCCTAGAGCATTCCGACCTTCAAAAGATTCCCAAGATGGCTCCAAGAGGCGATGTTGAGGGCTCTGTCCTTATCCTCGTTGTCTTACTCCTCCTCGACCTCGTCGTCGTCCTTGCCCTCATCGTCTTCCTTTCCTTTTCCTCCTCTTCCTCGTCGTGGTGGTGGTGGTGGTGGGTGTCGTCGTCGTCTTCCTCCTCCTCGTCTTCCTCCTTTTCCTCCTCCTCCTTCTCCTCCTCCTCCTCCTCCTCCTCCTCCTCCTCTCGCCCCCACGCGGGATCCAGGGATGGCCCCAAGAGGCCCTCCAAAGCCCCCCCCCTTGCTCCCAGAGATCTCTGTGTTCTCCCTGGTTGCCCGCTCTGTTTCACTATATGTGCCTCATGTCGCTTTTCCCGTCAACTCTTTTGGACAGGGTTTCCGGGCATAGCGGGGGGTACACGAAGCGAGAAGAATTCTTTGTGTGATTTTCAAGACAGCGGCCTTTTGTAGCGCCTCCTTTCCTTGTGTCGGTGCGGGTGTATCTTCTGCAGCGTTGTCCTCGAGTCGCCTGGGTTGGCGCGTTTAAAAAAACAGCTGAGTTTTGTAGCGTCTCTTCCGACGGTGTCGGTTTCGGCGGTTCTGGTGAAGCGCTGGGTGATTTAGGCGCTGGGTGAGTTTCGCGCCAGTGGAGTGCGGCCGGGTGGGTTCGGCGCCAGGTGAGAGATCCGGTTTGGGTGTGTTTGGCGCTGTGGGCTCTCGACCCGCGGATCAAAAGTGTTTGGCGCGGTGATTTGGGTGCTGGGTGAGCGGGGTGAGCAGTGACCTCTTGTCCCTCCCCCTCTCTCTCCCGTCCTCTCCTTCTTCCTCCCCTCTCTATTTCTTCGCAGCTCGTGTCGCCGTCGGCGTCCTCGTCGTCGCCGCCGCCGCCCCGTGCCACTGCCCCGCCTTCCGCGCGCGCTTCTTTCCGAACCTTTCCGTGGCCTGGACGACGATTCAGAGGACGTTTATGCTCATGCTCAAAAAGAGGAGGACGACAAGAATGAGGAGGAGGAGGAGGAGGAGGAGGAGGAGGAGGAGGAGGAGGAGGAGGAGGAGGAGGAGGAGGAGGAGGAAGAGGAGGAGGAGGAGGTCTTCCAAAGTATCGGTTGGCGTGTTCTCCAAGCAGCGCCGTTCATTAGCGACTCCTCTGCCTTTGTCGGTGTGGGCGTTTCCTCTTCGGCATATCCGCGTGGTCGTGGTCTCGCCTAGGATCGGGTTACTCGTAGCGGCCGTGGCTACTGCTTGTGCCGTTGCGGCCGTTCCTCCCCCACCGAGGATTTTCGTGTTCTGCAAAACAGATGCGTTTTGTAGTGTGTCTCCTGCTTGTGTCCGTCTGGGCGTTTCCTCTTCAGCGTGCTCCTGGGGTCGTCCGCGCGCGTCCCCGAATCAGCGTTTCGTAGCGCGTCTCTTCCCTGTGTCAGGGCGTTGTTCCCCGTTCAGCGTGGGCTCGGAGTGCTTTCCCCCAAAGCGGCGTTCTGTAGCGCCTCCTTCTCTTGTGCTGGTGCGGGCGTATCTTCTGCAGCGTCGTCCTCGAGTCGCCTGGGCTCGTCTCCACAAGGGCGGCACTTTGTAGCCAGCGCTTTCTTCTCAGTCCTCGGTTGGCGCGTTCTCAAAAACAGCGGCGTTTTGTAGCGCCTTTCCCGCCGGTGTCGGTGTCTGTGTTCCCGGTGAAGCGCCAGGTGAGTTAGGCGCTGGGTGAGTTTCGCGCCAGGTGGGGTTTGGGCGGGGGGGTCAGGACTGGGGGTCTGGACTGGGGGGGTCTGGACCGGGGGGACGGACTGGTGGGTCCAGACCAGGGGACTAGCGGCCCGCTTCAGCTGACCCTGTGGGGTGGTCTCTGAGGGGCCGGGGGCCTCGGAGGCGGCCCCCTGCCCTAGCGCGGGGGGGCCGCCCAGGGGGTGTGCCTACCAGCGGTCCGCGTAGGCTTGGCCCCCCTTCAGGCTTTCAAGGTGCGGGTCGGGCGCTCAGAGTTGCAAGCAGGCGACGGCCAATGCCTCTTGGGATACAGGAGGTCGGGGGGGGGTCTTTCTGCTCTTCCTCCTCCTCCTCCTCTTCCGCTGGCGTCTGCGGCAGGGTCTAGAACTGAGCGGGATGTCATTCCGATTCCGATTTTGATTCAGGCGTGAGGTTTTCGATTCCGACTCCGATCCGAGGGTCGTGCGGGATTTCGATTCCAGTCCGATCCGATGTTCGGCGGATCCAATTTCGAATTTCAGATTCGATTGAAGGGGGACCTGGTATCTCAGACGCTGTGTGAGGTTGGCGCTGGGTGAGTTGGGCTGTTTTGAAAAACAGCGGAATTTTGTGGCCGCATGGGCGCTTATTTTTCACACTGGTCATGGACTCGTCTGTGGCAGCATCAACAACAAAGGCGTTTTGTAGCGTGTCCCTCCCTGTGCCAGTGCGCCGTTGCTTCGCGAGCGTGGGTTGGGGGTGCTATGAAAAGCACTGTTGTTTTGTGGCGTTTCTTTTTCCTGTGTCGGCGCGGGCGGTTCCTCGTAAGTGTGCTTCTCGAGTCGAGTGTTCCCGTGTCAAGAACAGCTGCACTGTGTAGCGCGTCGCCTGACTGTGACAGCTGGCGCTTGCTTTCCAATTCAGTGTTGGCGCGGTCTCCAAAACAGTGGTGTTTTGTAGCGTCTCCTCAGCCTGTGTCTGTGTCGTCGTTATCCTTTGAAGCGCCGTGTGAGGTTGTCGCTGAGTGATTTAGGCGCTGGGTGAATGACGCGCCGGGTGAGTTCAACCGGATGAGTTCGGCGCCAGGTGAGTTCCGAAGCAGATGGGCTTGGCGTCGGGTGAGGTAGGCACCCAGTGAGCGGTGTGAGCAGTGCGCCTGTCTCTCTCCCATTGTCTCCTTCTTCTTCCTCCGCGTTCTTTCTTCAGCTTGCGTTTGTCGTCGTCGATGTCGCCGTCTCCACTTTGTGTCTTCGGCAGGCCTGGCGCGCGCGCCCCCGCGAAGAGGACGAAGAAGAGAACGAAGAGGAGGAGCAGGAGGAGGATGACAGGGAGGAGGAGGAGGAACAGGAGAAGGAGGATTTGGAGGAGGTTGTGGAGGAGGAGGAGGACGACGAAGAGGTGGACGAGGAGGAGGAGGAGGAGGAGGAGGAGGAGGAGGAGGAGGAGGAGGAGGAGGAGGGAGGAGGGGGAGCACGATGAGGAAGATGAGCAGGATGACGCTGAAGTTGTTGGTCTTTGCGTGAGTTAGGCACGAGGTGAGTCAGGCGCCTGGGTGAGTTATTCGCCTCGTGAGTCAGGCGCCAGGTGAGATGGACGCCGGGCGCGTCAGGCACTGGGTGAGCTAGGCGTCGGGCGAGTGAGGGCTGGGAGAGTGAAGCGCTGGGTGAGTGAGGCGCAGGGTGAGTGAGGTGCCAGGTGAGTTGGGCACCAAGTGAGTTAAGCACCGAGTGTGTGGGGCACTGGGTGAGTTCGGTACTGGGTGAGTTAGGCACTGTGTGAGTCAGCAACCGCGTGAGTTAGCGATTGGGTGAGTTAGCGATCAGGTGAATTAGGGACCAGGGGAGTTAGGCACCTGGTGAGGTAAGCACCGGGTGAGTTAGCCACCAGGTGATTTAGGCACTGGGTGAGTTAGGCGTCGTGCGAGTTACGCACGGGGCGAGTTAAGCGCCTGGTGGGTTGGGCATCGGGTGAGAGAAGCGCTGGGTGAGTTAAGTACCGAGTGAGTTCGGCGCCGGGTGAGTGAGAGCGAGGTGATTGAATCACTGAGTGAGTTAGGCGCCAGTTTGAGTAAAGGCCGGGTGTGGGTGAGGCAGACTGGGTGAGTTAAGGATCGGGTGATTTAGAGTGGGTGAGTTAAAGACCGGGTGAGCTAGACCAGGTGGGTTGAGGACCGGGTGATTTAGGCGCGGGTGAGTCAACGATCGGGTGAGTTAAGGTTCCGGATGATTTAAGGATCGGTTGAACAAATTTTGTTTCTTCTTCAGACAAGTGTGTGTGTGTGTGTGTGTGTGTGTGCGCGGCTCTGGCCGCGAGGGCGCCCGACGCCCTGGCGAGTCACCGAGCCTCGACGACCGAAAGTGTGTGTGTGTGTGTGTGACGTGTTCTTTCGGCTCGCTACCGCTCTTGGCGTGCAGCCCCCCTGGTGGCCGAGCTGGCGGACACCTGCGCTAGGGCGCATCATCCCAGCCTGACACCCAGCGGGTGCAGCATTTTGCTGGTGGCAGTCTGAAGCCTGGATTCCATCATCGCTTCTACTTGTGCTACCTCGTACGTCCCTAACCTGGGCGCCAGCACTGTCTACGACTTGCTCTACCGCATACTGAGCATCGGCAACGCCCGTGGATGCACCGACGCCGCGGCCTGGCTGCTGCCAGGCCCACCGCTGCCGCTGCTGGCCACGCCGGCGCGCTCTGTGGAACTCTTCCACGTCTGAGTGCCCTCCACCTCCCTCTGTCCTCCGCGGCCGCCCTGTCTGTCTCGTTTTCCCTCTCTTGCATGCCGGCCACTTTGCCGTTCGGTTGCCCCGAATCGCCACGCGCTGGAGCGGACCGCCTCCGCCTGTTCAGCCGACGGAAGAATTATGTTCGAGCCTTTGGTTCGAGCCGCCTGGGCTGAAGCGTGACATCGGCGCTGGGTTCGCGCTCGGGCTTCCTGGCCGCGCTGCCTTGCCGTCGCCTTGGGCCCAGCGTCCTGGCGCCGCGCGGCTGGCGCAGTCGCGTCGGCGACGGCCGGCGCATCTTCGCTGAAACCACAATCGCGCGATCGCGGGGCAGTCTTGGGGCTGCTGGGCGCCGGACGGATGGTGTCGGCAGTGCCAGCGGCTGCCGAAGCGACGGCGGCCAGCGTTTCCGAGCTCCCCCCCCGCGGATGGCGGCCTCGATTGCCTCTTCCGCGGAGGGCGACCACTACCAAGCCGACCGCTACCAATCTGGCCGCTTACCAATCCGACCACTGCCAATCCCCCACGTGGGTGGTTTCGATCGCACCAAGCCGACCGCTACCAACGCCAGCTTTCCGGCCGACGCCATTCCGATCAGCAGCAGGCTCCCGACCAGCAGCAGCACCATCTCCACCCAGACGAGCACCTTTACAACCAGACTCCGGACCAACACCACTCTGACCAATCCGACCAGCACCAGCCTTTTGACCAGCACTCGGAGCAGCATCGGCCTTCCGACCAGCATCAGCATCAGCGCCAGTCCAACCGGCACCAGCACCAGCCTTCCGACCAACGCCACATGATATCGGTATCCAAGGCGAGGCGGATCCGCCAGAAGGCGGCGCGGGCTCGGCAGCATTCTGTCTGCGGTGGCGCTGCGCCCAGCGGTTTGGGCTGGGGCGCTCCTCCGGGGCTCTCGGCGCCCACCGCCTGGAGCGAGGCCTCTGCTTCCGCCGCCCTGCGCTGCGTGGCAGCCGACATGGGCGACGTATTTTTTTTGAGCAGGCCTTGTACCGTGCTGCGCCTGGCGTTGCGCCATTGGCCGGCCGCGCTGACTGCGGCCGCGACGCTGCAAAGAGGCCGCCTGTGTTCTGGGCGCTGGCTTCAGTGGGCGGCGCGGAGGAGCGGCTGTTCTGGCTGCGCAGCGCGTCGTCCGTGGTTTCCACTATCGGCGTCGGCTCCAGCGCCTGACCTTGGAGTGCCTTCCGCGCGGCCCTCGGGCGATTCCGTCGCGACGCCGGCGCCGCTGCTTGACTTCGCAGGGGAACGAGCGGCGGCCGCTCTGGCGATCTAGGCAGGTGCCCGCCGGTTTCTCCAGCGTCGCGCAGTGGCGAGGCGGGTCGGGTGCAGCGGCGACCCAGCGTTGGACAGGCAGGCGCTGCGGTGCCATGCCGGTGCGGACACAACTGTCCGTGGCACCGCGTCGTTGGAAGATGCCGATGCGTCCCCGCCAATTCTGGGGCGAGGCAGCGACGTCCGTCCGGCGTGCAGGGATTCCTTCGCCAGTGTCCCTGGGAGCCGGGATGTGAGTTTGAAGTCCCTCATATTCCCGTTCGCAGTGGAATGTGCTTGCCGCGAGGTGGTCGTTCAGGATCCGTGTCTCTGCGCGCTGCGGCGATCGTCTCCTCGAGACGCGGCCTTCGAGCGGTGCGACCTGAGCGAGGTGTTCGCCCTCTTCGAGACGCTCGACTTCTCGCATCGAGCGGCGATCTTTCTGATCGGTGTATTGGCCTAGTTCTTGGTCGTGCATGCCTCGCACTTCGCGCGCGCGGCAATAGTCGCCCGCGATGGCCCGCGACGCGTCGACGACGCTAGTGGGCCCTCCAGGTAGGCATGGTTTCGAGCATTCGCTGACCCTGTGGTCCGCTTCTGGGGCGCGACGAGTTCGTCTGGTCGGGGTTCTCTTCCTTTAAGATCGACGTCTGCATCGAGTGGGGACTGGACTTCTTCGTGGGCGCCGCAGGGGGCCGCGTGGCCCGTCGCGCTGTGGCGATGGCGCAAGAGGCGGGGGGTGCCTGGGCTGCGTTGAGGAGCGCGCCTCGAGACGGTCGCCGCCTCTCTCCGAGCAGACATTGATATCGCCCGCGTGCGGTTCGGCATGGGCGCCGGGCTCGCTGGCGGCGTGTTGGCCGCCGGCGGGGGCCGGGGGGCCATCCGCGTGCTCTGGGGTTTAGCCAACTAGCGCCACCGTGACACTAGAGGTGTTTGCAGGGTGAGACGCGCCCCTGGCTGCAGACCGCGGCGCGGCGGCCGCGCTGCGGAGGCGCCAGATGAATGTCCGCGCCGCGAAGGTGCTGGAGGGCTCGGCCGCGTCGCGGAGGCGGCGGGAAGGTTCTCAGAGACAGCGCCGCGCGTCGCGGCCCGCGCCGCGGCGCCTGGCGAGGAGAGCGCTGGCGGAGCCCGGCGGCGCGGGCAGGAGGGGCATCCCGGCCGCCCCGGGGAAATCGTCGCTTCGCTGGGCGCTGCGCCGCCCCCGCAACTGGCAGATCTGTGCGCGCCGTCGGGCGTCGGGCGCGGCGAAGCCCGCGACGTCGCAGGTGCTGCAGCGGCTGCGCCCGGAGTCGTCCCGATCGTGGTTGCGACGCTGACGGGGGCGCGCGTCGCCTTGGACGTGGATGCCAACGACCCAGTTCATGCGGTGGAAGTCTGCCTCTTGGATAGTCGCGGCCTCCCCGTAGCCAGTCAGCGCCTACAGAGTGCGGAGGGGCGGCCGCGTGCTCTCGGATTGCGACGTCCACGAGGAGTCCGCGGTGCACCTGGCGCTGACGGACTTGGGATGAGGCCGCGGCCCCTGTGCTGCACTTGATGCTGCGCGGCGTCGCGCCGGGGGCGACGTGCAGCTGCCGCGGAGGCCCTCGGCTTTTATCGGGGCGCAGCTGCAGAGCTGGGGCCTCCCAGCCTGGCTCGACCTGGCCTGGGGCGTCGCCGAAGCGAGGCGGCGGGCGGTGGTGGTGCTGCGCCATCCGCCAGAGCACAGTGGGCCGCTACTATGTCGCGATACCCGCGCGCGAGCAGCGGCAGGGGGCCCTGGCGCTGCTCGAGAAAATGCGGTGGTGAAGCCGAGCCCGACCTCCGACGGCTGCGACGTCGCGATCGGTCGGTCCATGCATGCAGTGCGGGCAGGGGCAGGGCGGGCAGCAGGCGCTGGGGCGGGCGGCGGTGGCGGCGTGGTGGGAGGGGCGGGGGCGGGGCGGCAGCGGCGGAAAGGGGTGTGGCGGCAGTGGCGCGGGGAGGGGCGGCAGTGGCAACGTCGGCGGTGGGGCGGGCGGCAGGGTAATGGGGGGGGGCCAGGAGGAGGCGGCGGAGCCCCGGCGGCGGGCCCTGGCGCTGCTGAGCGAGATGTTCCATCCAAGCCAGCGCGCGCGAGGGGGCCGAGCCGTGGCATCCGGCCCTGCCGTTGCTCGGCGAGATGCGGGCGGCGCAGCTGGGCCCCGCCGTCGTCGGGGGCCCCGGCGCCCCGATCAGCGCGCGCGAGAAGCGCCTGCAGTGGCGGCTGGCCCTGGAGTCGCGTGGCGAGATGTGGGCGGTGAAGGTGGGGCCCGCCATCTTCGGCGCGCGCGCGAGGAGGGC